AACAACAACAGAGTTTTTGTTGTGGAATGAAATTCAAAATTATTAAAAAACAAAAGAAGACCAGGCTTGCTGGTCAGATAAGAGACTGGAGGAACCTGAGACTGTGGCCCTCGACCATCCTTCAGGTCTGGAAAGGAACTCATCCTCGTAGTCCAAGTTTCAGCCAAGCAGCAGACTGGTATTTACGGGTCACAACAATGCTAGTAAGGTGTGCTCACCATGGAATGGTCAATCATTCAAAAATCAAAAGGACAACATTTATCTAAGAACAAGGTTGAGAAGGGATGGGAAGATAGGTGACATGGTAACAGGTTCCCACAGGGAGGAAGCAGGATAACTGTTGTTTGCAGGGAGAGGATTGCAATCATTGGAAGGAAACAAAGTATATGATTGGTTGAATGTAAACTTGGTGACTTTGTCTGTAAACCTTCACTCAATTCACAATAAAAAGTTACAAAAATAAATAACAGCTTCCCCTTTAACACAAAAACAAAAAGGAGTTTTTATAAGGACTCCATGTAAAGTGCTTCCAGCATCACCAGAGGCGTCTCAGTGCTCAGTGAGTATTAGCTGGCTTTATTGTTGCTGTTTTATTGCTAAGGGTACAAAGTGGATAGAGAGATCAACCCGGCTACCCCAAACTGCAGAAGTAGCAGCTAGATTAGACACTTGCAAACCACATTTTACTTCTTGCTGTGAGTTGTGTAAGAGTGGAAATTTTAAAGGTCAAAATACGCACAAGGTGGGATTTAAGTGAAGATCCGATAGGGTGGAAAAAGCTGGTGAGCTGACGGTGACATTAGCAACACAGGAAAGCAAGTCAGATACCAGTGCCCTGATTTTGGCACTGATGATGATGGATAGAAGCATCCGCTCAAGAAAATCAGTTAAGTTTCAAGCTACCACACAAAGCACCCTGGCACGTCTCCACCAACCACATGGACAGCAGTCTCTTCTCATTTGGAATCAGGGAGACTTCTCTTTAACATGCCAGGAGGTATGCTACAGAGAAATGATTCCTGAGCTTCTCTCAACCACACGTTAATTATTGTGCTACAGCAGCAGTACAGTGCAGATAGAATTGTTGCTGTTAAGTGCCATCGTGTAGGTTCCGACTCATGCGACTCTGTACAGAGGAGTGGCTTGTGAGTTGAACTGCCAATCTTGAGGTCAGCAGTCCAGTGCTTATCCAACACTGCCACACGTGACTGACTAATAAAAGGGAGGTCTTCCAATTCTTACTGCGTCTTTTCATCTCTTGTGTTGTATGTTGTATGCACGATCATCCTTGCTATCCTGTTGCTCATCTAAAATCGGTACGTAAAAAACAAGAACAATACTTCCAGGCTAAAGGGTTTTATCACGCCAAACTGTAACTGTATTAACTAACTGAATTGCCCATAGCTGTACAGCCATCACAATTCTCACTACTCAGTACTGAGTGGGTTCCAGTTATGGGCTCTAGTCCTATTATCATCCTACGTTCTATGGACTCGAACAGAGCTGTGAAATGAACTCCGATAATAGTATTTGCTTGAGTCCTAGTGTGGCACTATAGGATAAGCACCAGACCACAGGTCAGTTTGAACCAAGGTCGGCAGTTCAAACTCACCAGCTGCTCCTTGGAAACCCTATACAGGGTTGCTATGAGTCGGAACTAATTTGAGGGCATTTAACAACACTGCCTAAGGAGCTCTGGTAGCATAGTGGTTACGAATCGGGCTGCGAACCTCAAGGTCAGCAGTTTGAAACTACCAGTTGTTCCGCAGGAGAAAGATGAGGCTTTCTGTTCCCGTAAAGATTTACAGCCTCGGAAACCCTGTACAGGGTCACTATGAGTCGGAACCAACTCCACAGCACATAACAACAACAACACTGCCTACTATCGTTTTCAAACAGGTATTACAGTGGCAGTCACCAATAGTAAAAACGCGATTTGACATCTGGTAGCAAAGTGGTTATGAGTTGGGCTGCCAACCTCAAAGTCAGCAATTTGAAACTACCAGTGGTTCCGCAGGAGAAAGATGAGGCATTCTATTCCTGTAAAGATTTACAGCCTCGGAAACCCTGTGCAGGGTCACTATGAATTGGAACCCCTCTCCACGGTACTTAACAACAACAACAACAGTGCTTTGTGAGGAGCTCTGGTAGTATAGTGGTTAGGAGTTGGGCTGCTAACCTCAGGGTCAGCAGTTGGAAACTACCAGCCAGTCCGTGGGAGAAAGATGAGGCTTTCTGCTCCCATAAAGACTTACAGCCTCTGAAACCCTATGCAAGGTCTTCGTGATTCGGCACACAACTACAACCAACACCACAGTACTTTGTAGTGAGCTTTCATATTACCGAATTTTCACAACAGGTACTACTGCTGTTGGCATTATTTTCACCAGTGATAAAAATTAAAAAAAAAAAAACTTATTAAGTGACTTACTTGAGGTCTCATAAAAAGTAACAAGATGTAGACTCAGGCCTGGTGGTATTGTCAGCCCCAAACTATAAATGCTCACATTTCCTTCTATTCTGCTACATCATTTTTCTACAGGTACAGATGGAAGCATTTGCACACCTTTCAACTTACCAAGCAGCCAGCTATCTTTGTGCATCCCAGCTTCAAACTGACTACAGAGAGCAGACTGCTGCAGCACAGCACAGTCTTGCAGACTGCCTGGCCAATGTGTCTCCACAGTCATTAGTGCCCCTCGAAGGTCACACACCATCAAGCAGTTCAAAGAATGCAGCCCTTTGCGGTTCACATAGGAGAGATCTTCAGCATTTGGTGCCTTGATTGCCACATGGATACAGTCAATAACCCCTATCACCCCTGGCATCCCCGCTAACCCATAGAATTCATCCTTCAGAGCCTGCGCGGAGGCTTCATCAGCCGGAAAGTGAATGAACTGTGAGGCCCTTTCCACAAGCGCTTCTGTGACATTGGCAACACATCGACTCATAGAGGCCTGGCTGATTCCAATAGCATCTCCCATGCGCGTCTGAAAGGAGCCTGAAGTATAGAAACCCAAAGCTGCAAGGATCTGTGTCTCTGGGCTAATAGCCCTAGATCGTTGGGTGGGTCTAGTAAGACTAGCCCCTAAGAGTTCCACTAAGTAATAAATGAACTGCCGAGGAAACCCATACATGGACAACAAGTATTCATCAGTCACATCATCCAACTTAAAGCGGTCCAGTGTCCGATGCCCTCGGCCATAGAGTAAGAGATCGCAGTCAAGCACTGTTATTGGGATAGCCATGGGAATTTGAATGTTGTCTCTCCTACCCTCTGTTATTTATTCCGAACTCTTCACCATGAAGTTAGTGGTGCAAAAGGGTAAGTTAAACAGTGTCAGGATTCAATAACTAATCATCACTTAAATGGCTCTGGCATTTCTAATCTTCTCTCTGTAAAGGTTAGAAATGGAAATAATTAGAAACCTACCAACGACTGAAAGAAGTGACTCCAAAGCTGAAAAACTCCATTTTCTAAAAAATTTCATCCTGTTCAAGTAAAAGGTGCTGTATCTGTAACTCTGGGCTTCTCTCCACAAACTCATGACTTTGCGACAGGCTTGTTCCGGTTTGAGACAACGGGAGTTCAGCTGCAGTGCCTTATTTAATGCCTGGTATTTCTACTGAGAACAGTAAAAGACTAATAGAGGTGATGGCAAAATTATACACAAGGCAAAAGAGGTCTGCTTCTAACTATCCAGACCCCAAAGTAGCGGACTTGAATGGTAACTAACTTGGGCAGGGATTAATCACGAAAAGTTTCATTACCCAAAGCCCTCTGGTTCCAAGCGCCATCTGATAGGAACGCATGTGGGGGATACTCAAACCAAGGGGGTCAAAAACGCCTACAACCCAGCTTAGTGGACCTAGACTGTATGCTACAACAACAGGCATTTCCCTTATCCCCAAAAATCTAAAGCGTGAGTTTGGGGGTTAGGAAGGATGACCAAAAAAGTTAGGGTTAGAAGGAAGCGCGAAAGGGGCAATTTCGCAGCTTTTCCCGGGCGCCTTAGAAATGTCTGTCTAAATTGCAGAGAAAGTCTAATTGCGCGGGCCAAAGTGTGCTAAAGCCCATTACCCACCTCTCCGCGGCTGCCCGGCTACCACCCTCACTACCCACTCTCCGCACTCCCCACCCTCCCAGCCCTGTTGGACCCTCCTCCGGAACCGGCAACTGCGCACAGGCAGCCACGGCGCTCAGCAGCTGCTCCGCCCTCTTACGTCAGCGTCCGTCCCCCGCCGCGTCCTCACCCCCGCTGCTGCTGCGATCTACGATTCGCAGTTGCACATTCCACTCGGAACCCTAAGAACTTCACTCTTTCAAGGACAAGGGTTATGCTTTTGTTTTCTCCTGAGACGCTTGTGACAATTGTATTTAAATGATTACATGGGTAAGAAATCAACTTTCATGGGGATTTCCGTAAGCAAAAAGACTAAATTGGTTTCCAGATGGTAGCGAAAGTGCGGCTGAGATTAAGCAGCAAGATTTTCCTTATGGTTTCTTCCTCCCCCTCCGCCTTCACCGAAGCGAATGAAAACAAACAGTAAGGATGGCGGCGCCGGGAATTCGACAAGCTGCTGGGTTTGTGACAGGAGTCATCGCCTGAGCTCTGACGGGAGTCCTGAGGACTACTGGTCGACGTGAGTGAGACAACTCCCGCAGGTCTGGGAGTGAAACACCCGGCGAGCCAGGAGCCTCCTGAGGTGCGAGGTGTCTCTGCGACCCGTGCTGTCACTGCGGCCCCGGAGCACCGAGCCCTCGGCCAGGAGGCGCGGCCGGCCGGCCCCAGGCCCCGGCCTCCGTAATGAGAGCCCCGAGCCACTCTCTGAGCCGCAGCCTCGCAGGTACTAACTTTAGAGGGGATTATCGCCCCCGACCCCGAATTTTTAGCGCCCCCGGGTGGGAGGCTATGGATTTGCGGCCCGTTGTGTTTCTCCTTGTGGAAGTCGAAGCCTAGTAGCCGCGGTTCAGCCCCGGAGCCCCCCTGACTTGTTTTGGGAAGTTGGGTTGGGGTAGGCCCATAGGCCCTTGATTGTTCCGTCTTACAAAGAGCCCCAGAGCTTTCCTCTACTACTTTCCCGGCTCTCTCTGGTTTCGCAGGGCACTTTTTGAAGGTAACTCGTGGGGCTATGTAACTCCGGGGTTGGGCACCAATATAAGTAAAAGGCCGATTGTCATTCAATCAAGATTTGTTGAGTGCCAAATATGTACTCCGCGTGTAGGTGAGGGTGACTGTTGACTAGTGAAAAAAGGGACCCAAGGTTCACGACTATCTTCTTACTGGCAGTGGAGCGACCTCTGGAAACCTGCGAACCATTTCTCATTAAATAAATCTCTGGGTAAGTGGCTTAGCACCTTCTTGGGCTCAACGCTAACTCATTTCAGTTTTCACTTTTCCTGGTCAGTTGGATCCCAATTAGTCTGGTCAACTCATCGTCGCATGTCTCCTTTAATATTCCCCTGACAACCCCACAATTCAAGTAAAAGACCCATTTCCCCCATTGTAATTAAAGTCGTAGAATTTATTGAACACCTTCAGTTGGAGATGTGCAAGAATAGAAATGATAGACAACAGATCTTTTCTTTATACTCAGCTTCGAAATTTTTATGTGTTCATGAATGCTAGTCTTTTTCATGTCTGGATATTGTGGCTCCCAACTAAAATATAAGGTCTTTTTAAAAAAAATTTTCTGTTTTGTGTTTTAATCTCTCCTGTCCCCGTGTACCCCCACCCCCAAGCTCTTTCACAGCTTAGCAAAATTCTTATGTTTATGGAATGGAATCCTGACTCTTAACAGTACTTTTAATACACCTTGAACGATGATTAAATGCTGAAGTAACCTGTCAAATATACTGATTTGTGGCACAGATGCATGTACCTAATTCATGGTCTGTTTTCAAATTGTATCCTCTTAAGGGTACAAAGTTAAGTAAGCAACTCTTTTGTGAAAATTATGAATTTTTATGAGACTTAATTTTCATAAAAACTGCAAACGACTGGATTTCCCACTATACTGTTTGTTGACTAACAGTTCTTATTGCATATTGATTTTGTTTTGTTTTTTTTCCACCAATAATAGGGAAAAAGATGAAGCTGTCTGCTCCCATAAAGATTTCTGGTCTCTTAACCCTAAGGGAGCAGTTCTTTCCTGTGCTATAGGGTCACTGTGAGGTAGAATTGACCTAATGCTGTGGTTTTGGTATGGTTATTAAAAGCCAAGCAAAAATGCAAGATCTTTAGCTACCCAACACTTCAAATTATATTGTTTTGTTTAAGGGCTAAGAGTCAGCTGAGCACAGTAGATTTCTACCATATAGGATTACTGGAACTGTACTGTATGGAGGTGGGAGCAAGACAGATCTCTTCTTTTTCCCCCTGCCAGCCCTTTCTTCCTCCAAGTCCCTTGAAAGTATCATCTCCATAACTCATCCGGGTGTCTGTACTCTAAATGCCAAACAAAGCCTAAGACATTCACTTATGAGCTTTCAAAGACCCAAGATTTACTACATGAGTGATTTTCATATAGTAGATAATTTTGTCTCTGCAGAAAATATACTTTACAGTTTATCACACCTAATCCATAGGTGCATTTGTAGTTATTTTAGGCCCCAGTGGGAGTGCAAGGTATTCCTTTCTGTGTCTTTCTCTGGAGAGAAGTTATTTAATCTTAATAGTAATAAGTGCTATGGAGTCCTTTCTGACTCATAGTGACCTGTGAGCATAGGGTTTCTGAAGATTGGCTGGTGAGCTTGAACTGTTGACCTTGCAATTCAAAAGGACCTTGCAGCCCAGTGCATAACCTGCAGCACCACACCAGGACTCCCTAATAGAAATACATAGAAAACCTTAAAACCATTTAAAAATATATATTTATCGTCCTCCTTTATGAGCACTTCATTTAGAAGAGATTATTTCATTCACTATCAGTATGGTCAAGTGCTCCTTAGATTACAGAGAATGAACAATACAAAATATTCCTCAGGATTAAGACTGTAGTTTTTTTTCTTGTAATAAAAAAAAATATATAGAATCTAATTTTTAAATGCAGGCTCTTCTAACTAATATCTGAGTTAGCACATGGCTGAAGACTTGTTTGCATGTGTGTGCTAACTTGTGGGTCACTTTACATACACTTTAGTGAAAGGAGCTTATTCTTGAACAAGGCATACCTAAGCTTTATGTGGGGATGGTTTAAAGCAGTTTCCAATTTGGGACATTAGCTGAGTAAGATGAATTTCCCTAAGGCATAAACGTCCCTGCTTCCTTTCTATTATACTGTGGACATTCAACTACTGTACATTTAGACTCTAACACACACAGCACTCACAGGAAGCTAACACGTGAAGGGTTGTGCAGTTTGTAAACCATACAATGTGGTATAATCCGCCAATGTGTGATGTGGAGCCAAGAAAAATGCAAAAAAGGCATAATCTTCTCTGCCTAGGGGAAATCAAGAAACTTTTCTTAAAAACTTAAGCTGTTAATCTATAAAGGGCTTTAAATCCTTAAGGCAATTTAAAATTAGTTTAAAAATTTTAAGTGCCGTTGACTCTTAGTGATCCTGTGTAGGGTTTCCAAGGAGTGGCTGGTGAGTTTGAACTGCCAGCCTTGTGGTTCAAACTGACCTTGTGTTCCAGAGTTTTATCCCACAGTGCCACACCAAAATAGTTGGTGGCTTTTAATGTATAGAGTAAATATTATTAGAGAAATCCTCTGACTGCCAAGCTAGGTTGCAGTGGAAATTTCTTGATGTCCTAGTGGTGGTGTCCTCTTTACTTCTTTAGTCATGAGAGATGAGTAAGTGGAACACCACTGCTTAGAAAAACAATGAATATGCATACTTGGTGTAAAACATTGTCAGTCAGGGGTCCTTCCAACTCCTGGCAACCCTGTAAGACAGAGTAGAATTGCCCCATAGGGTTTCCAAGGTAGTAAATCTTTACTTATGCAGACTAACTCTTTATCCCTCCAAGTGCCTGGCAGGTTAACAGCAAAGTTCTTAGTAAAAGTAAAGGTCACTTGAATTGTATTTTGAAGATAAAGCTTTCCCTTTTGATTCATATGCCTGTGAAAAAAGTCAGAGTTAAAAGTCATTTTACATTCCTTCCAATTGAAAAGTTTGTGTGTGTTTTTTCAACTTGTGTTCATTGTCCTCAGTTATTAGGTCATTGTTGTTGCTGTTAAGTGCCAACGGGTAAGTTCCAACTCAGCAACCCCTGTATAGGGCTTTGAGGAGCAGCTGGTGAGTTTAAACTGCCAGCCTCCCTGTTAGCAGTCCAGTGCTTATCCTACAGTGCCACACCAAGATTTCATTAGGTCATTGTTGCTAAGTACCATCAAGTTGGTTATGACCCATATTGACCCTTATAAGGTTTCCAAAGAGCAGCTGGTGAGTTTGAACCATCAACCTTTCGTTTCAAGCCCACCATGCAGTCTAGTGCTTACTCTGTAACAACACACCAGGTCATTAGGAAAGGTGGTTGTTGTCAAGTGGATTTCAATCCATAGCAACCCTGTGTAGGGTTTCCAAGGAGCTGCTGGTGAGCCTGAACCATTGACCTTGCAGTTCAAACTGACTTTGCAGTCTGGCACATTAACCCACAGCACTATACTGACTCCAGGAGAAGTCATTAGGAGAGAGATAATGTTGAAGTATTTCATGAGATTTAGATGTCCTGTTTTAAATATGACCTAAAAGGTGTTTTTACCATTAATCAGCTTGCCAAGAGTCAATCTATTCATGTTGGAATTTATAAGAAATAAGATGTTGAATTATTTATTTTTTCTTTGGATGGTTTAAAATTTTTTAATGAAGCTTGGTTTATATTTTATTTTTTCTGCTTTCTTAAAAATAATTTTAAAAGACATAGTCTTTTTAAATTATAAGAGCATTTAAAGCTCTACATTTTCCTCTAAATTTGGCTTTTGCCATATGTCACAGGTTTTCATGTCACATGGTCTTCATTTTATTAATTTCTACATAATTTGTAACTTTGGTTTTTATTTCAGTATTTATTGTAAACCTTTTTTTCTTTATACCTGTACCTGGTTTGCCATTTGAATTTATTAGTCTGAACCCAAACACTTAAAAACAAAAACTGTGAAAATGATTTTCC